TAATGTAAAAATTTAACCCAACGGTTGGGTTAGTCCATATTTGACCCAAACTTGGGTTGAAACAACCCAGCATTTTTTAGAGTGTAATTAATTAACTTTACACAGTTATTGAAATGAACTGAACCAGCACTGAACTGAATTGAGCTGAATAATGACACAATTGTCTTTTTAGAGCTTACAGCAGAATTTGAATTTGTCTCATATTTGATGCAATTTGCATTATTAATTCAGTTTTTTCCCCCTGTTTATTAATGTGAAGCTGCTTTGAAACGGTCTGTATTGTATAAAGCGCTATATAAATGTGACTTGACTTTTCAGCAAAATTGAAACAGTAAAATAATCATGAAACAGAAGTGTTTGGGCCAACACGTATCATAATTGTTTCATTTGTAAACATGTATAATATTTAAACACTCGTGTGACAACTTCCCCCAATAAAAATGTAATAATTTAAAATGTATTAGCCGAAACAAAATGCCCTGAGAACATAGTTGAATCTATGTTAAATGACAGAACTGGTATCATCCTATTGCTTAATTTTATATATGATAGATGTAAACTTTTCATCTACATGTAAAAAAACAAAACAGAATCATGGCTTAGCAGCATTGAATTGTAACACTTGAATGTAGGCTATACTAGAAATAATACTGGGCATAATGGAACAGTGTATGCCCACACAATTGTGAAAGTGATTAAATTGTATAAATTGTATTTGCTTTGAACAAATGCCCTTGTTTTCCATTGGTGTTACTACTCACGCCACCTAGTCTACATTTACAACTCAATCTGGCTGTGTAACAGTACTTTTGTACTTGAAGGTAGTTTACAGTTTATAGATAAGGTGCAGATTTCTAACCTACTCTGATTTCTAGCAGACAAATGTGGGCATATAATATGAAAGTTTAAGACACACAGGGCAAACGATCACTAAGTTATAGGCGTTGAAAAAAAGCATGCTATAACACTCTCCATCAACCGCTAAAGAACAAACAGCAAGATTGAAGTGTTGAGAATTGCGTATGAAATTTTAAATGCAGACGTCTTACAGTCAGTGGCTTTTCTTGACTGTTGCAGTCACTAACACTTAAAACCCCGATGGAGAAAGCGCAGGTTTCGCACGTCTTTACCTTAGTCAGACGCGTTTTCACCTGCCGCGGGATTCTGAGAGGAGCCTTAAGACAAACACAAGACTGGTGAGATCCTAGATATGACTATTCAAGATGACATTTTCATATATGAAATTCAAGACAAATCCTACAGCATTTGGATCCATGTCAGAAATCGTGTATTCTTCAAAGTCCACGTCTTCTGACAATTCAGTCTCCTCAGTTTGGCACTGAAAAACCGGACACAAATACAAGACGAGGACTATGAGTAGCATCTTAGGATATGATGTATCCCGCACTGGCTGCTCTCTGGAGTGGGTCGAGTGTACTTCAGTGGTCCTGGAGTGTGAACAGGGCGGTTATTGCGTCCCACCCATCTGAAGACACTATAGTGAAGTGTTTGGGAGGGAGCTCCGGTGTTTTTGGTCTAGACACTTGCGACATTCTCACTCATCTGTCTACACCCCTGATAGCACACATACATCTCGGAGACGTCTATTTGATGTCTGCATTTACATCTGCAAGACGTATTTTTTAGAGTGTTTGCTCATCTGCAATACGTCTATAGGACGTTTCCTTTTAGATGTCAAATAGACGTCTATTAGATGTCTTTAAGATGTTTATGATTTAGAATGTATGTAAAACTGACATCTGAAAGACGTCTGTCAGATGTTTGTCCACAGCAGATGCTTTCCAGATCAAGAGATCTTTAACAGACGTCGTACATGTGCTGTCTGGGACGAGATTGGCCCCTGTTTTATCTTTTGAAGCAATTTGATTGCTTGATGATTCATTGTAAATGAATAATCTGTAGTTTAGTTTAGACGAGCTGGCATGTCTACACCAATTTACATTTCGCATAAACATTTGTTTCCGTTCCATATTGTCTTTTATTGGATAACTTTCATAATCAATTCACTATGTTTCACTCTGATTTGAGTGTTTAAATGCAGCTCGCTAGTCGCGAAGTTTTACTTTTACCAACTAATTTTCTCTTTTCTAGATTGAGTCGGATTTAGTGTTGAGTAGGTTTAGTAACTCAGAATATTAGGGTAGGCTATAAGCTTGCATATTTGAATGAATGTCCTGTGTTATTTCATACTTTCATCAGCTGTCCTATAAGCTTCATTGCCAGTGTTCAAATTCAAGTAGCCTATAAGCTCTGAACTTCTGTCACGTTTCTATTAGGTGGTGTTGTTGGCATAACTTGTAGTAGGTGTGTACCCAGTCTATGGTGTGTACTTGTAGTAGCCTACCCTTGTAGGCCCCCTCTCGGAGCTCCAGTGCAACAACTTCTGAGCAACTCGGTTATCCCACAATTTGTGAGGCATTCAATAAGCAAACGTTCTTTATAGCGGTACGTATAAACGTACTTCAGATTATTAAAAATTTCTTCACACTCAGAAACAAAAAGCGTTAGATGATAACAAATTTTGATCAATTAATTGAATTCGGCCTGTTAGTGGTTATTTCATGCCAACCTCATTTTCTAACGTGAATTTTCGCTGTCTTTGCTGCCATCTACAGGACTGATGGATGATTGCGAAGGTACAGGATCCTGTCTGATTGGAGAGGGGTCTATAGTGGTCTGACTGGATATCTGCACATCTGAGGTTAGTTAATCGACTTTGGCTATGGTGAATTCCTCCAGTAGCCAATGGTATTTTTTCGGACACAGTGCACTAATGTCTTTGTTTATTAACGCTAAGTGAAAGTAAAGGCTGTTTGCTAAATACATAATTAAACATTTTTATGGAGCATATGGAGATAAAAATTACACTGCCACAGTAACAGATAGTGATATCTGCCTTATTTAGAAATTCGTCAGGGTTTTTTAGAGACCATTTACAAGATCATTAATGACAAATAAATATAAACCTAAAAACAAATGTATTACACAATTAAAATTATTACATCAAATATATATGACAATGACAAATGAGCAAAGTGTAGACACATGGGATCGCCCATGGTCATCCAGATAATGATATAATATCCTAAACAGAAACAAATGCAATCTATTTCAATAAAAAAAATAACACTTTACATAAATGTGTTTCAGAAGCTATGTCTGAATATATCACACAATTTTAAATAACATGAATAATTAGCGCTTTTCTTTTACAGTATACTGGGATTTTCCTAATTTTGCTTTGACATTTTGCTTAGGAACATCCCTGGTTCTCTAAAAAGAAATGATGACATTAATTTCTTACTGTTTTATGGAACTTGCAGAATGTTTTCTCAGACATTTTGTAGTGCAAAATGGATTGCTTCCATTGTCTTCCATTGTCTTGATAAGAAACATTTAATATGTTAAAGAGGATTGATTGATTGATTGATTGATTGATTGATTGATTGATGATTGATTGATTGATTGATTGATTGATTGATTGATTGATTGATTAAATATATGATTGATTGATTGATTGATTGATTGATTGATTGATTGATTGATTGATTGATTGATTGATTGATTGATTGGAGGAGTTTTTATTTCCAAGAAGTTAAAAAATAAATAATAACAGAAAAGGCAGGGGTTAAATAATAAACATCGGCCTAATCTGCTGTTCAGAAAGGCATTATTTTATTTATCCTATAAAATAGTAAGATTTGACCTGCATGAAAATGCTTGTTAGTTTCTCGTATATTTCTTTGATTGATTGATTGATTGATTGATTGATTGATTGATTGATTGGAGGAGTTTTTATTTCCAAGAAGTTAAAAAAGAAATAATAACAGAAAAGGCAGGGGTTAAATAATAAACATCGGCCTAATCTGCTGCTCAGAAAGGCATTATTTTATTTATCCTATAAAATAGTAAGATTTGACCTGCATGAAAATGCTTGTTAGTTTCTCGTATATTTCTTTTATTTGATCCCTGGTCCAAATAGTAGCCAATATCCTACAATATTCCTAAGTCTCTCAAATTTCCCGTAGATGGTAAACAATCAGGGAATATGAATATTCTTGCTGTATGCAAATAATGTGTCCAAACACCTTTGCCTTTATTTTGAACAGTCTATTTTGGTTTATCATTTAAATTTAAAAACACCTTTTCTTTTTTTTTTTGCTTGAAAAGGACAAAAATAATGAATAATATCCTGGCAGAAAATTACCAGAACATTTTCCCTTTTTTTTTTTTTTAAACAGTTTGTAGGAACCAGAATAAAAGAGAATAACCTTGTGTTCAGAACAACCACAGACATGCCCCCATTTTCTGGTGATTGGGCAATATTCTGGGTAATATTAACAAATTAACCATTCAATTGACCTATATGGCTTTGATAAATGTTTTATATAACACATTTTTGGGGTAACACTAAAAAAAAAAAAAAACTATCATCATAAAATAAAAATAAAAAATGAAGCCTACATTTTTAAGACTATATTTATTCATTTATTTATTTAATCACTAATTAGATTTGAATGTGCACATATTCTCATTAAAATTATAAAATAGTACATTTAATCCTCTTCAGACAATGATTTTTTTTCTTTTATTAACACAAATGCAACTTTTTCATGTGTAAAAAAATTAAGAAAAAATGTGGGAGAGAAAATGTGCTTGATTGTTAATGAAAATAATGTCAATGTCCAATATAACAATGTTGTTCTGACAACATTTGAAACAAAGAGTGTGATATGTATCATTCCTTTCCAGGGATTGTGTTTGTACATCTGCTGGTCAGGTTTCAAAGGTTCCTGTCTCTGTTTTTTTTTTGTTATGTGGGGCACAGCAAATATTGACGAGGCTCAGAGGTCTCAGAGACTGCAGAGGCTGATCATTTAGCCTCAGTCAGTGTGTGCGTGTGTGTGGACTGTGCTGGCCGTTTTGTGCTTTCTCGAGTGGATTTTTTTCTGGTTCCATGAAGACTCCAGTTCTTCTGTGCGTCCTGCTCTTTTCTCAGAGCTGGGCTTTCGAGTTTATCATCGATGGGGAGTGGGAAAGTGAAACAGTAAGAGTGAAATAGAAAAGCGAATAAAAGACTAAAAGAGGCACATTTATGTGCATGCGTGTTGATGTCAGTATACTGAATGTGTATTTAAATTGAAAGCTATATTGTGTGTGTGTGTGTGTGTGTGTGTGTGTGTGTTATTTTGTTAGTCAGGTCCTTTGGATCAGAACCACCAATCTGGGAGATACAGGGTAAGCTTTAAAATGAAATTAAATGTGGCATTTTAAACAGAAATAAACTGAAATTACTTCAGAATTTCTGTGTTATAATAATAATGTATGTAGTTTATTTTTTTCCCAAGATGTTCATCAGTTTGGAAATGTTTTAATGTGATGATAGTGTCACTGAGGCCTTCATTGATTACCATTGAGCAAAGAGTCAGGGGTAAGTCCCCCAGTCCAGTGTCAGATGTCATGCAACTGTTTTTTTTTTTTTTTTTCAATTTAATATTTAAATCAAATTTATATATTGAGTTCGATTTTGTTTTAAAGTGATGCAAAATATTTGGCAATAAATTATAATTTACATAATTTAAAAATTATATTATAAAAATGATATAAATATTTACATTTGCACATGGTTACAACAACAACAAAAAATACTCGTACTGTATGCAATTTAATTTGACTTCCTGAGGCAGACCATTAATATTTCTTTGAATTTGAATCTTTTCTGTTGATCATTTGTTGGAAAAAAAAAATCACATCCTTTTTTTTTTGGTTTATTTTAGAAGGTTCCTGGAAATGTATAATTCAGACTATACTTTCTTTCTTTCTTTCTTTCTTTCTTTATTTTTTTGTAAAACAAAACAGAGTAAACATGTCATGATTTTAAACTGTAAGCATATTTTGTAATTATTGTTTTTTTCTATTTTTGTGTGTGTAGAGGAACGTTTTGACCAGTGGAGAAGAAGAGGATTTTGAGGTAATCGTGGTCTTGTTGTTCCACTTTAATCTTATCTACTAATCGATTGGCTTGTTTAAAGACACTCCGGTTATTGACTTCCCCTCTGCTGCTGTTCTTCTTCTGCTAGAGACATTTTTCCCCTGGTTAGATCTGGTTTCTAAGTTTCTATGTATATTTTCATGTCTGTCAAGCCCTAAAATAAATAACTGTAATGCCAAAAGATTCAGTTTTGCATGTTTGATGTTTGCTATTTTCACACAAGCCAAAAAAATGCCACAAAATATTGCATTTCAAACTAGAAAAGGAAATTTCCCCAGGACAAACTGTATGTCTTTATGTGCTAAGGCATACAAATGGTTCCTAGGCCATTTCGATGGTCTTATTTAATGTTGATAGTTTGATTCATGTATTGTGTTTTGATTATTTGTGTATGCAGGCAATTCAAGGCAATGACATCACAGTTAAGAGCTATAAGGTGGAGAGCAGAATCACGTTGCGGTTCGCTCACACCACAGTCAAGAGCTCTGTGGTCAACTCAGGCCCCAACGCCCAGAGCATCGGCTTCAACGTGCAGATCCCCAAACGGGCCTTCATTAACAACTTCACCATGTGAGAGCATTAACAGACACAAATACACACAAAAACACATCAGCTTCCTGTGTGACCGGTGGCTGCTTTTCAGGAATGTCAATGGGATCACATTCGTCGGCTCAGTGAAGGAGAAGACAGTGGCAAGGAAACTTTACGCTCAAGCAAGAGCTCGTGGGAAAGCAGCCGGCATTGTCAGGTATGGCTTTTATATCCATCCATCCACCCATCCATCCGTCCATCCATCCATCCATCCATTCATCCGTCCATCCATCCATCCATCCATCCATCCACCCATCCATC